CTAGATGCGAGTCCAGGCTGCTTGGGGCCTTTGCTCATGCTGTTCCAGCTTCCAGAATCATCTTCCTTGTCACAGCACTGGCCCCTGCTCCTTCTGCTCAGAAGACGCCGCCTTCACGAAGCCTTCCTGATTCTCTGGGCTGGGTCAGGCACCTCCGTTTGCGTTACCACAGTGCCCGAGTTCCTCCCTCACAGAGCTGATCATCCAGCGTTACAACGGGGCTGTGGGCACGTCACTTAGTTGATGGACAAATACTGACAGGTCACTTCGTAGGTGCGAGCTCTATGTAGAACCATCCATGCTTACGGAACCCTCAGGGCAGGCGCTGTCCCTGGCCTCTGTGCACAGACGGGGAAACTGAGGCTCAGAACGATCTAATGGTGGGAGGAAGTCAGGTGGCTGGAGAGGCTCCCGCCCCCTGCGGTGCCTGTGACCTTCAAGGAATCTAAAAGGCAGGCAGCGCTGGTCACTGCTGACACCTGTTCTCTCCTTTTCCATCATAACAGAGCCCATGGTTTTCAGCTGGACTGCCGGCCGCGCAGAATAAAAACCACATCTCCCCGCTTCCAGAAGTATAGTCACACGACTAGGTTCTGGCCGGTGGGTTATGACCGTGGCCGGCAAACCGCAGCTCACGTGCCACATGCGGCTCTTTGGCCCCTTGAGTGTGGCTCTTCCACAAAATACCACAGCCTGGGCGAGTCTATTTTGAAGAGGTGGTGTTAGAAGAAGTTTAAATTAAAAAAAAATGGCTCTCAAAAGAAATTTCAACCATTGTACTGCTGATATTTGGCTCTGTTGACTAATGAGTTTGCCGGCCACTGGGTTATGAGCAGAAATGATGTGTGGAGCCGAAACTGGTGTGGCTCAGTGGAGAGAGCATCGGCCTGTGGACTGAAGGGTCCTGGGTTCAATTCCGGTCAAGGGCATGTACCTTGGTTGCGGGCACATCCCCAGTAGGGGGTGTGCAAGAGGCAGCTGATCAATGATTTTTCTCTCATCGATGTTTCTAACTCTCTATCCCTCTCTCTTCCTCTCTGTAAAAAATCAATACAAATATATTTTAAAAAAATGATGTGTGGAGTTTCTGCGAAGTGTCTTTAAAGGGGGAGGGAAGCCCTTCCTCACCCCTTCATCCTCGTTGCCTGGGATGCACATGTGAGGGCTGGCTGTATTGTGGTGGGCAGCCAGGCAGACGTGAGCAGAGCAAGGACGATGAGCCAGGCACAGGAGGTCACCAGGGTGGAAGCCCAGGTGTCTAGCAAGGACCAATGGCAGGGAGGGACCTCTCCCCCAGGGTGACCTTCCTCTCCTAGCACATCACTAGTCATTCTGTTTAGGCCCCTGATCTTTCCTCCCTAGAGACAACATCTAGGCTTCGGTTATATTTCAGCTCCAGGCCCAGAAAAGCAGAAAAATCAGACAAGCGACGCCACCCCTGACCTCAGGACCAGCTGCCTTGGATAATGACGCCCTGTCCTGGCACCGACCGACCAACCAACCAGCGGAGACCTAGACCCTAAAGGACACGCCTGAAAGCTCCACCCTCAGAACCCTTGGGATGGAGGGGCCAGTGCACTGTCCCTCCCAGGAGCACCCCCATGTCTTCCCCTCCTTCCCACCCCCGCCAGCCTGTGCTCCTTACCGATACCTTCTTCACTCCCAAGCTCCAAGGCCCCTCTTTTGCCTCTGCATCTTGTTTCCAGAGTCCGTTTCTTCCACCTCTGTGATTTTCTAAGTAGACGGTCTCTTGTAGGTTGAGGCTTGGCTCTGAATTCTTTCCTACCCAGAACTCAAGTTCCGAGGTTGCTGAACCCAGGTCCAGTCTGACCCCACCGTCTAACACCTGATGCCCTTCTCACCGCCTCCAATCATATTGTGCCACCTGCTGGGGAGGCGGGGCAATGAGGTGGGAGGAGCCTGGGCTGTGGATACCAGGGGGCCTCCATGACTATTCCTGGTCATGAGCAAATAAGCCCCAGGTGCTTAAACTGCTCTGGTTGGTCAGCCCCCAGCGTGCGTGCGCACGCGAACACCCCCCCCCCCCCACACACACACACACGAGCCACGGCCGAGGGCCCATCTTTGCCTTCATCAATCAGAGAAGGGAAAGGCTTCCCCTAACCACCTCAGACATTCTCAGCTCCAGCCAAGCACTAGAGTGTGTAAAAAAGCAAACTCTGGGTACGTGCAAATACTCACTGGTGAATCCACCAAGAACAGACTACGGGGTCCAAATCCCATCATCGCCCGCACACTGTGAGATCCCAAGCTAGTGGCTTGGCCTCTCTGAGCCTCAGTTGCCTTATTTATAAAATGGAGACCTGGAACTGTTGCTAACAGGATTTTTTTTTTTTTCTACTTGAAACCCTCCAATGGTTTTACTCAGCTCCTCGGAATAAAAACTGAACTCCTTATCAAGCTTTATAAGGCCCTGCACACCTGCCCTCGCCTCTCTCTCTCTCCCCCTACCTCTCTGTGCTCTGGTCCAACACCTGAGGCCTATTTTTTTTTTTAATATATTTTATTGATTTTTTACAGAGAGGAAGGGAGAGAGATAGTCAGAAACATAGATGAGAGAGAAACATCGACCAGCTGCCTCCTGCACACCCCCCACGGGGGATGTGCCCGCAACCAACGTACATGCCCTTGATCGGAATTGAACCTGGGACCTTTCACTCCGCAGACCGACGCTCTACCAGTGAGCCAAACAGGTTTCGGCTAGGCCTAGTCTTTTTTTTTTTTTTTTTTTAATTGATTTCAGAGAGGAAGAGAGAGGGAAAGAGAAACATCCACAATGAAAGAATCATTGGTCAGCCACCTCCTGCACGCCCCCTACGGGGCATCGAGCCCACAACTCGGGCATGTGCCTTTGACCGGAATCGAACCCAGGACCCTTCAATCTGTAGGCAGATGCTCTACCCACTGAGCCAAACCTCTACCTGAATTCTCACCTCCTTCTCACTATTGCAGTCTCAGAGCCATAGTGTCCCTGATCATGCTTGTGACGTGGCCAAGTAAGAGCCCCTCACTCATATCTCAGAAGAGCCCTTAACGTGGCCCAGGTCTTCTACAAAAGGGGGCATGCTGGGGACGGAAGCAGCACCTGGTTTGTTCACCATAGAATTAAACCACATCTGCCCTGGCCGGTGTGGCTCAGTGGATAGAGCATCGGCCTGCGGACTGAAGGGTCCCAGGTTCCATTCCAGTCAAGGGCATGTACCTTGTTTGTGGGCACATCCCCAGTGGGGGGTGTGCAGGAGGCGGCTGATTGATGTTTCCCTCTCCCTTCCTTTCTGTAAAAAAAAAACAATAAAATGTTTTTTGTTTTTTTTTTTAATTAAACCACATGCCAGGACCGGTTTGGCTCAGTGGATAGAGCGTCAGCCTGTGGACTGAAAGGTCCCAGGTTCAATTCCGGTCGAGGGCATGTATGTTGGTTGCGGGCACATCCCCAGTAGGGGGTGTGCAAGAGGCAGCTGATTGATGACTCTCTCTCATCGATGTTTCTAACTCTCTATCCCTCTCTCTTCCTCTCTGTGAAAAATCAATAAAATATATTTTTTTAAAAATTTAAACCACATCTGAGTTGGTCTCTGAATCCAAGTAGAAATTCACAGGAAATACGGGGACTGAGGAACATGTTAAATCACACCACAGGGACACCCATTGGCAAAACCCAGACGGCCAAGGACATCACCAAAGGGCGAATGACCCAGTTGCTTCACCAAATAAAGTGCAAGGCAAGAGAGAGAGAGAGAGAGAGAGAGAGAGAGAGAGAGAGAGAGAGAGAGAGAGGGAGAGGGAGAGGGAGAGGGAGAGGGAGATGGAGGTGAGAGATCCCCGTAGAGAGTTAGAAGCCCATCCCCTTGGTTCAGACAGCCCGAAGAAATGGACACCATAACGGTCACACTCCTGGTGTCCCCACCGGGATCGCTGTTTTGAACACGATGCTGGTATCCGTGGGGCTGCTTTCCAAGAGGTGTTATCATGAAGGGCCAGGCCTCTCCCTCAGCTCGGGGGACGCTGGGGCCGGTCATTCTCCATGCAGGGGTCTGTCCTGGGCGCTGCAGGGTAATTGGCAGCATCCCTGGCTCCCGCCCACGAGGGGCTGATAGCAGCCAGCCCCGGTGATGACGACCAAAATGCCCAGCAATGCCAGGTGTCCCCGGGGAGAAACACCCACCCAGCTGAGAACCACTGCTTTATCTGCCCAAACTGACATGTTTACAGATGGAAAGAAAAAAAAAATCTGGGATTTGCATCAAAATAGCAAGGGAGTGGGGAGTGAGTGAAAGTGGAAAAGATGCAGGAGATCATTGCTGAATCTGAGCAGTGGGTACATGGGGCGAAGTTGTTATTCCATTCTTTCTACTGTGCGTGTGTTTGACACTTCCCAGTATCCAAAGTTGGAATGACGGGGGGAATTCAGATAAAAGCTGGAGTCTCGTCCACCCAGGTACCCGTGTTGCCCTCTTGGTTATGACGAGCACGCATCTAACGGACAGGGTGACCATCCGGGGAGCCGGGGGAGGGCACATGAGCACTCGCCAGGACTTTAGCTATTTATCTTACATCTAAAACGATTCCAAAATGAAAAGTTTATTTAAAAAAAACAAAAAACAAAACAAAACAAAAAACATATTTCAGGGAATAGTGCATAAACATATCCAGGAATAGTGCATAAACATATCCAGGGAATAGTGCATAAACATATCCAGCTGTGAGTCCAGACTGGAACGGAGGCCCCAACGGGCACAGAGACCTCACACCCCCCTCTCCGCCGGCCTGCGCCTTCTCACTCACCACCGACCGTGGCCGCCAGCCCCGGACTTCCCTGACGTCATCCCGTGGGTGGCACGAGGGACCAGAGGTGGGGTGGCCCCACAGCAGCCAGGGCACACACTGCTTTCAAACCCATTTTTTTATTCTCTCCAGACTAGAAACACTTACCGCTACCCTCCCCACCCCGCTCCTTGCCAGCCGAGGGTCAGCGGGCCTCAGAGCGGGTCCGGGGGCCCCTCGGAGGACTCGGCCGCCTCGGCCGCCCCCACGAAGGCGGTGTTGACCGTGCAGGAGTGGTGCGGGCTGGCCCGGGCCAGCAGCTCCAGCCTCCGGGAGCGCAGCCGGGCCTGGATGGCCCAGATGGGGGCGTGGCGGCCGCGCAGGGCCGGGTCCTCGTCGCAGAAGCTGTCCACGGTGGAGTCGGAGCTGTCCTCGGTGCCGGCCACCGACTGCTTGCACACGGGGCAGGCGCGCTGGGCGGCCTGGGAGAACCAGGGGTCGATGCACTTGCAGTGGTAGGTGTGGGAGCAGGGCAGGATCTTGAGCTGCTCGCCCTCCTCGTACTCGTCCAGGCAGATGGCGCACACGTCGTTGAGCCGTGTGAAGGTGCGGACCTGGGCCCTCCGCAGGCCGGCCGGCTTCTTGGCCGGGGCGGGCCCGTAGGCCCAGCGGGCCCACAGCCGGTGCCACAGGTGCCGGAGGACGAAGAAGGTGGACATGAGCAGGGCCAGCGTGCGGCCCAGCACCCAGGAGATGGCCAGCACGGGGTGGCAGTCCAGGTCCGGGCACGGCGGGTAGCTGGGCACCAGGAGGACCTGGGCGGACCGGTCGCAGCACAGGATGACGCGCAGGTCCTGCGAGGTGGCCTCGCTCACGAACACGGCGGGGATGGAGATCTGGCGCCGCAGGTCCTCGTACACGTGGGCCATGCGCACCAGGTCGTCCGAGAGCACGTTGTGCACGATGGCGGCCTTGAAGCCGGCCTGCTGGGCGTGCAGCACCTTCAGGTCGAACGTGCAGTCGTAGCGGCGGATGAGCACGATGGCGTCCAGGGAGCCGTTGCCCGCCCGCCGCGGGCGCTCCAGGGGGTGGCACGCGTTGGCCGGCTTGGCCTCCATCAGGTAGCCCCGCACGCCCTCGGGGGCCAGGGGCGCCCCGAACATGGCCGGCAGGTCGGCGAAGTCCACCGTGCTCGCGTTGCCGTCCAGCACGGCGCGCACCACGGCCTGCGCGGGCACCAGCAGCGCCAGCAGGACCAGGGAGGCCCGGACCGCCCTCGGGGCCAGCGCCCGCGGCGGCCGCCCCATGGCCTGCCCGCCCGCCCGCCCTCCTCCGCCTGCTCTGAGCGGACTAGGTCCCGCCGGGGATGGCAGGCGGGAGGCCTGTGGGCATCTCCGGGGCCAGGCGGGGATGGAAGTGGCTGGAGGGGGAGGCTCAGAGGCAGGCGAGCGCAGTGGCTGGGACCCGGGCGGCCCTAGGCGGGAACGGCTCCCGGCGGCCGGCGCGTTGGCATCGTGTCCCTGAAGGCCGGTCTCAGGAGGAACAGACCTACCAGGCGGCCTGGCTGGCAGATGGCGCCGAGGCCAGGACCCCTCCGGGTTCCAGATGCCCCCAGCCTCTGTGACATCACCCACTCACATTCCGCCCCCGCGGCCTGAGCCTGGGTCTCTGAGGGGGGCCTGGGCGGTCTCCAAACAGCGTGCTGGGAGTGTCAGAGCACCCCGGCTCCGCTCCTGTGGCAGGCCCTGCGGGGGCCTGCGGCCGAGCGGCACAGACCCAGGACTCGCACTCACACTCCCCGGGCATCGTCTCCCTGTGCCTCTCAGGAACCCAACAAAGAAAGTGCCAATGTCGCCCCCTTCCGGGGTTCCTGAAGGGGCCCGGTCTTGTTCAGGGCACCCTCTGCCCCAGGAGGTCAGATCTTAAACCCAAATTCCAGACTTCCTCCCTCTCTCCTCCTCGTTCACGCTGCTGCAGCCACAAGAGCCACCTTACTGTTCCTCCAACATGCCAAGCACGGTTCTGCCCCAGGACCTTTGCACCGGCTCTTTCTTCCATCCACAATGGCCTTGCTCCCTGTGCTGGCTCTTTCCCATAACTCGGGGAGGTACTGAGAGTCTAGCCAGACTGACGTGAGGGGAGAGAACAGGGCCAAGGGCAGGGGTGGCCACACATCCGCACGGCCTGGTAGGCCGCCTGCACCTGCCTTCTTCTCTCATGCCTTCACAATGCTCTCGCCCAGGCCGTGGTATTCTGTGGAAGAGCCACACTCAAGGGGGCCAAAGAGCCGCATGTGGCTCAAGAGCCGCGGTTTGCTGACCACTGTCTTAGAGAAAGGTCGTCGGTCCCGTAAGAATTGTAAACCATCATCTTGTTTTCTGTGTCTTTGTGTTTTGTGGGCCTCATCTCTTCATGGCGAGAGACATGGGTGTTTCATTTCCGACTCACACCGTTTTCTTTTTAAAGGAAGACAACAGGTGAGTGGAGCCTTAGGAAAGTTTTGGTAAATGAAGGAACCGATGGAGGATGACAGGGAGAAGGTGGAGAAAGCAGGAGAAGACAGGAAGCTGATACAGAGGGCGTATTCGTTGGCTCGGGCTGCTGTAACAGGCTACCACGAGCTGGGTGACTGCAAACAGCAGGAACCCAGTGCCTCGCGATCCCGGGGCCAACAGTACAAGATGAAGGTGTTGGCAGGACTTTGCTCCCTGCTCTGCCCGCGTGCAGGGAAGTCTGGATGTGCCAGATAACTCACACCCTGAACCAATGACTGGCCAGAGCGAGCGGGCAAACACCCGGTCTCTGCTGCCCCTCAGATGAGGTAAGCCTGGGTGAAGTCCCTCACCATCTCCTCCAGGACGTCCAGACTGAGCCCTGAAACATGACAGTGCGTCACTGCTGCTTCCCTTCCTTCTCCCGCCCCCGTGGCCCCCTCTCCTCCCGGAGTTTTCTGAGATCACTCCCAAAACAAACGACGTGCATTCAGATCCTTGTCGCGGGGTCTGATTCTGGGGAACACAGAGGAAGGTGCTGCCTAAGAATAAAAGAATGGCCGAAACCGGTTTGGCTCAATGGATAGAGCGTCGGTCTGCAGACTGAAAGGTCCCAGGTTCGATTCCGGTCAAGGGCATGTACCTTGGTTGTGGGCACATCCCAAGTGGGGGGTTTGCAGGAGTCAGCTGGTCGATGTTTCTCTCTCATTGATGTTTCTAGCTGCTTTCTATCCCTCTCCCTTCCTCTCTGTAAAAAAATCAATAAAATATATGGGAAAATTAAAAAAAAAAAGAAAAGAATAAAAGAATGCACAGGAAAGCAGGAAAAAAAAGAGACAGGGAGAGACCCGGGTCCCAGAAACACCCTTTGAGCACCTCCCTCCAGCCGAGCCCAGAGGCCACTCAACCCCGGAGCCCCTGAGTCAGGAACATTCCTCGTTCTGCCTGAGAGAGGGTTTCTGTCCCCGGACCACACCCCTCGTGCACAGAGAGGCTTCCAGGATCTCGTAGTAAAGACCCGGGCGCTGTTATAGCTGATCTTCTCTCTGCTCCGCACCCATCCCTCTCCCCAAGTGTTCCTCGTGGGGGCCGCCTCCGGGAAGGCCCAGCGGGGGCAGAGCAGGGTGTCCGGCTCCTCTGGCCACGGCTGTCAAGCACGTGCCAGGTGGGGTGTGGGAGGTGTCCTGTGTCCACTCGTCTTGCCCAGAAGCCGGCCGCCTCTCCTTCCTCCCCTGAGTGCATCCCCTGCCGCACTGAAGGGGCCCTTGCCCGCACGCGGGCGGGTAGGCAGCGCACACACCCGGCAGGACGGGCGTGAAGGGAGCAGGCTAGCCCCAGGGGGCTGGGTGAGGAGGAAAGACCGGAGGTCTGCAGAGTCCGTAATAAGTGGCCAGTGACCCACCGCCTGCAGGCTGACCGGCCCTTCTCTCCTCTCTCCTCCCTCAGCATCTCCATGTCTGTCTCTTTGTCCGCCCGATTCTGTCTCCCCTTCCTTCTCTGCCCTTTCCTTCCTCTGTCAGAGTCCTTTTGTCTTCCCTCTTGTGTTTCTCTCTGTCCCTTTCTCTCTCTCTCTCTCTCTCTCTCTCTCTCTCTCTCTCTCTCTTGTTGTTTACCCTCACTTGAGGATATTTTTCCATTGAATTTTTTTATTTTTTAGAAATATATTTTATTGATTTTTTACAGAGAGGAAGGGAGAAATATAGAGAGTTAGAAACATTGATGAGAGAGAAACATCAATCAGCTGCCTCCTGCAAACCCCCCACTGGGTATGTGCACGCAACCAAGGTACCTGCCCTTGACCAGAATTGAACGGGGATCCTTGAGTCCACAGGCCGCCGCTCTATCCACTGAGCCAAACCTGTTAGGGCTCCATTGAATTTTAGAGAGAGAGGAAGGGAGGGAGGGAGAGAGACAGAGAGAGAGAAACATTGATGTCAGAGAGAGAACACATCAGTTGGTTGCCTCCCATCGAACCTGCGACCGAGGCATGTGCCCTTGAACAGAATTGAACCTGGGACCCTTCAGCCCCCAGGCCGGTGCTCTATCCACTGGGCCACACTGGCGAGGGCTCTCTCTAACTTCCTGTCTCAGTCTTTCAATGTCTCAGACTCAAAACCTCCGTTGCTACGTGGCTGCTGTCAGTCTCTGTTGTGCGCTTTCTTTGTCTACATCTGTCCCTGTCTGTGTGCACATCGCTGGGCCTGTGTCTCCAGATCTCTGTTTCCCAGTGTTGGTCTCTCTCCCGCAGTCTTGTCTTTCTCTGCCTCTGTCTGCCCTCGTGCCCCACAGCAGATACCCGCCCAGTGGACTTCATCAGCATGAAGGCCAGACCTGTGCCTGTGGTCCCCGTCGGTGCCAGGGGAGAGCTGGGTGCAGGGCCCCGCCCGGCCCTCAGGAATGGCTCAGCTTCCCCAAGCGTAAGACACTTCCTGGACACCACTGCCCTCAGACCCTGCCTCGCCCTTGGAGCGTGGACTGCGCTTTTCCCGCTTCTCCCGGGGGAAGCTGCCCTCGTGCAGCTCAGAGGCCGGCCGCCACCTCTGCCTCAGCTTCCCAGTGGCCCCCGCCGGCCCCGCTCCAGCCCAGTCGCGGGCGTCCGGCTGCAAAGGGGTGAGCTTGCCGGCTGCTGCCAGGAAGCTACCAAAGGAAACAGGCTCTCCCACGGGGCCGGGAAAGGGCTCAGGGCGCGTGTACAGGAAGCTCTCAGCAATAGCGGCAAGATTTATGGGCGCACAGCTGCCCCCGCCACCGCGGCCACACCCCAGGAGGCGCTTCCCCGAGGGTCCACGGGGGAAGCTGGTTGTGGATCTGCCCCTGGCACCCCACGCCTCATGCACGGCCAGGCGGCATAGCTCTCTCTCTCGCCGGGGATGTCCTTCGGGACTGCAGGCCGCCGCCCGCACCACCAGGACCAGAGGGCCGGGCCCAGAGCCGTGGTGCCCGACAGCCCGGCACAGCCCCTGCTCCGGCCGCACGGGCGCCGCGCACTATCCGGCGGGCCAGTGACTAAGGCTTCGTCAGAGAGCTGCTGCCTCTGTAGCACAGGCCCCGCTTCACTTGGGGATGATTAAAGGCAGAAACACTGCAGGGAGCTCTGCCCGCACAGGGCGTGCTGCAGGCACGGGGGTACACAGTGCCACCGAGACAAACCCCCACCTCCCCTCCCCCAGGCGGTGTTTCAGCCGAGAGAAGGGGAGACGGCCAATAAACACCTAAATGAACGAATGAACCAGCCGTCACCTGAGTCAGCTCAGAGCGTGAAGAGCCTGCAGGAAATGAGGCAGGCCTGATGGGGGGGGGGGGGGGGCCGCGCACGTCATCGTGGTGCCCCAGGGAGGGCCCCCCCCAAGGCAGGGAGGTCTGACTGGGAGCCTGGAACGAGGGAAGACCTTCCCTTCTAAGCACACCTCATTCTCAGGGTGCCACCTGGGCATCAGGCTTTTGTTGACTGGCATCATTTAATTTCAGTTGTTTGTTCGTCAAATATTTGCTAAGCACCTACTGTGTGCCAGTCTCTGGGCTGGGCCCTGGGGACCCAGAAGCAACCAAAACAAGAGAAGGAGGGGGAAGCAGATGGAGGGGGAGGATGGGAACAAGAAGGGGAAGGGAGGCTGGGAAGAAGGAGAGGGAACAGGAGCAGGAGAGGAGGAAAGAAAAATAGGAGGAGGAGAAGGGGCAGGAGAAAAGGAGAGGGGATAGGAGAGGGGACAGAGGGAGAAAAGAGGTGGAGTAGGAGGAGAACGGAGAGGAGAGAAGGGGAGGGGAAGGTAGGGGAGGGGAGGCGAGGGGAGGGAAGGAAAGGGGAAGAGGGGAAGAGAGGGGAGGAGAAGGGAGGGAAGGAGAGAGGGGAGGAGAGGGGAGTGGAGGAGAGGGGAGGGAGGGGAGAACAGGGGATTTGAGGCGAGGACAGGGGAGGGGAGCAGAGGGGAGGGGAACAGAGGGGAGAGGAGGAGAGGAGAGGGGAGGAGAGGGAAGGAGAGGGGAGGGGAGGGGAGGGGGAAGAGGAGAGGGGTGGGGAGGAGAGGAGAGGGATGAGGAAGAAGAAAGTCTGAGAGAGACCCTGGCTGGCCCAGAGGGTGATGGGAAGTTCCCTCCCCATGGGGGGGATGTGCATGTGCTTGGAGGCGGGGTGTGAGGAGTGGCAGACGGAGGCAGG